GGTAAAGACCAGCTCCAGAAGAACATGCTATGCATGTTAACGACCAGAACATGAGAGCCAGTATTTCGCCCTGCTGTCAAGTTCCGGGCAGCAGGGCTCCAGTGCCCCTGGGATCTTGGGGTGACTTCATGCTCCCCTTATCCTAACACTTGAAGGAATTTCCCAGGCAAACTCATCATGGCAAACAGCTAGTAATTGAATAAAGGCCTTAGGCACTTTATTTGTAAAAAGTGAATTTAATTTTAAAAAGGCTATTGTGTCAGTCTTATTGCAGTTTGAGGGAAGTAATTTTGACTGAACTAAGATGCCATTTACATAAATGAGGGGGAAGTTAATATACTGTACAAAAATAAAGGGTTTTTGAAAGAGATCGAAATGTAGTTTTGAGAACACATTTTACAAGCAGCCAAAATCTAAAAATTGCTCTGATGATGCTAGGAACAAAACCCACTAAATATGGATAAAACGTACTCTTTGTTATCATAAATGATTAATACATGAAACACAAGCAGTCTGTTGTTCTGCGATGAAATCAAAACTACAACAAGAAAAGGCAACAGAAACATTAGTCTTTTATAAGGTCATTGATCCCATTCATGAGGGACTTAATCCCTTCCAAAAGGTCCCACCTCTTGATGCTATCATATTGGGGATTAAGTTTCAACATATGAATTTGGGGAGATACATTCAGACCACAGCAATCACTAAATGCTTCATTGTATCAGCTCTGATTTTACCCATGTGGCAAATTGTTTAATGATCCCAAATCCTCTTCCCCACCTTTTCACCTCCAGTATGCACTCCTTTTTGTAATGTGACTTTGCTTCTCATCCCATCCAGAAATGGTGTCCATTTCTCCAGCCTTTTGGATTTTAGCTCACCTTGTTTGCTTTGACCAATAGAATGTGGTAGCAGTGAGGTTGTTTGTGTTCCTTAGCGTCGGCATCAAGCAGCCTCGGAAGTGCTGCCTTCACCTCTTGGGGCACTGCTCTGGGACTGCCATGTAAAGAAGCTGGGCTAGCCTATGGGAGACTGGGTGCACATGGAGGAAAACCAAGGCACCCCAGCCAGCACCAACTGCCAGATATGTGAGTGGGCTACCTTAGCCTTCCAGCCAGATAACCATTCAGCTGCATGGAGCTAAGTGAGTAAGCACAGGCAAAACCAGCATGGAAACTGCCTGGGAAACTCACAGAAGTATGAGAAATAATAAGCCATTGTTGTTTTAAGACACTAAGTTTTGGGGTGATTTGTTGGGCAGTAATAGATAACTGATGCACCCTGTCATCATCTTTTAATCTGCAATTATGTTACAGAAGATTATTTGCTTAAGAGAATCCTCTGTCATTCCTCTTCATCGTTCCCTTGTTCCTTGTGTAGAGTTAGACTTCTTGTTAGGAAAGTTGCTTACTTGTGTAATAAAAGAATACTCTGAACTTCCAAAGTTAGTAGGGGAGGGAGAATCTTATCTGGGGAGAACTGCCCCCCCCTTTCTTCTCTTCGCCATTGCCACCCTGGCACCCACCCACCCCCAGGCGGAGCTGGACCTGCCAAAGCCTTGGGAAGAAGCGAAAGGGGGGAAAACACTCATGTACCCGCCACACACGTGCATGTGTGTATTGTCTCAGTCCAAGGGCTCCGGAGAAGCAGAACCAGGGGGGTGTGTGTGTGGAGAGAGATTATGAAGAATTGGCTCACCTGACCGTGGAGGCTGACGAGTCCCACCATCTCCCATCTGCAAGCTGGAGACCGGAGAGCTGCCGGGGTAATTCAGTCCAGGGCTGAAGGATTCGGACTGGGCAGAGGATGACATAGAGCCAGTCCGGGGCAGGAGAAGATGAGGTGGGGAAAAAGGGGTAAAATCCTCCTTTCTTCACCTTTTAGTCACTTCAGGCCCTCAACAGATTAAATGATGCCACCTGCATTGGGAAGGACCATCAGATTTACTAAGTTCGCCAATTCAAATGCTGTTCTCATCTGGAAACACCCAATAAACCCACCCAGAAAAAATGTTTAATCTGGATACCCCATGCCAATTCAACACATAAATCAGCTTGACACACAAATTAGCCTTTATATATATGTGTGTGTGTGTGTATACACCATTATATATTATACTAACCATTATATATCATATAATATTAACATAGTATATATAATAGTTAACATATGATGTAATACATAAAGTATGTATCATATGTACAGAAAACCTAAGGTCACATAGCTAGTGAGGGAGAACTAGGATTCAAACCCAGCACTTTGGCTCCAGAGTGGGAAAGAGATTGGGACCTGTAACCCTGTTTTTATTTCTCCAACTGATGTGACCTTGCCTCTCCAGAAATGTGGTTCTTCTTGCTCATTTCTGCGAGGCCTAGGTCTCTGTGGGTTGAATTTTGTTGGTGACTCAGCCTGTCTCTGACTCCGAGATAGGCTCCTGTCCAGCTGTCCCAGGACATCCGGTCCTGGCTCACTGCACCGCCAGATTTGATCGTCTCTCTGCAGGCACCATCATATTTCCCTATTTTGTCTCTAGTCTCAAGCCAATATGTCTTCTTTTGTGACAGCTAGGTCACATGTGGGGGGAGTCCTACAGGGGAGTCCTGGAGGTCCTGGGAGAATGTGTTGGAGCAGTTCACCCTGCAAAGTACAAGAAAGAAAATTGAAGTGACATTAGAAAGAATGTTGAGTACAGTTAATTTAGAGTACCTGCCACACCCTAAAGGAAATGGGGAATCTCCCATTATCATCTGCACTCTGAGAGTCTAGGACAAGACCAGTGCTCCCAGGCGGTGGAGGAGACAGCTGTCTTACACAGGGGCCAGGGCTGGAGTTAGATAGGTACCCTTTGCCGCAGGACCACCACCCCATTGGGATGTCCTTGTTGCTAACCTGGGGTTCCTAAGATTAGCGACACCTAGGGGTCACTGTACGGATTCTTCCTGGCAGTGGAGTGTAGTTGACAGTACAGAC